TCAGTACACAGCAGCATACAGCATTTTTACTATTGAATATTATTGAAAGCTCTTCTTCAGCATGCAGTGTATTTTGACTGTTCAGTAAAATGCCATATGTTTACAACTGCCCGGGCTACCATACAGGAGTACACATAAAATAATTCCTAGCATTACTTTGGGATTTAAAATAATAAAACTCTTTTTATTTAAAGGAGTGGCAAAGATTGATTAACCAGCGTCTATCCAGCTCTAACTAGACGTGTAGAGAATGCATTTTCCCCACTAAAAATACTGCAATTTACTCTGAAGTATGGACTGAAAAATACCAGTCTGTCAGTTAGTGTGAGTGTAAAGAATATAAAACCAACATCCAGTTTATCATAGGAATATGAAACAACAGTATTTGTAATCACAGAAAGTTTCTTAAATTTTTGAAGTTGTTATGGCTTGCATCAGTCTGATTCTAACATGATTTCTTTTCTTGATATTTACTTTGAAAGCTGTATGTAAGATCAATCTCTGTACTCTGGCCAGTTAATTCTCCTTAACTCTTATCACAAATTCTGAAGAAAGATCATTTAATTTGCAATTAAAAAAAAAATAACTACAAGAAAAAAAAATCTATGTCAATGCAGATAAAATTCACTTCAATCTGCAACTTTTCCCTCTGGTAAGCACAATAATAAAGCTAATACCTTAATAACAAAATGCATTTAAGGCTTCCTCCTCATATGATATTGTTCTGTGATTTCTCAGACAAACTTTTAAGGCAAGGCTCATAATGTATTAACTTAAATTGCTAGAAGAATTATACAAGATAAAAAAAAAATCAATACAATCTACAGAGTACACCTTATCTGGCATATGCTGTAAAGGGTCCATCTTACAGAAATTCATGAAATGACAAACACTACAATGAATGACTCTAACAGTTTGCTATACTGACAACAGCCCACCCAAGCAGCATTACAAACAGTCAGGCATTTATGTTAAATTTAACAGTAACCACAATAATAAATTTAGTTTGTGTATTGCAATCTGCTAGACTTACTAAGCAAAGACATACAGATATAAGTGAAGACCATGAATAACATAATAAAAGTGGAACTGTGCATTCATATAGCTAGAATTTCTTCAGATTTTAACAATGCTAAATTGGACTGCCAAACATCGAGAACTATTACTAAATTAAAAATAATACAAGAAAAACAGCACAATAGATATAAAAGGCAAGAAGTACAAATGTTCATTAAGTATTCAAAAGTATAAATACTCATTAATTTGTATAAATATTTTGAACTTCTTGATAAAATTTACTTACAAGACAAGCTCAGTCATAATCCATTTTACTGCAGCAAAGAAGGCATTATAAGGCTGAAGAGAAGCAACTCATTTAATAAAAAGGCAAAATATCAGTATTTATATCTTCACTGAATTATGCACATAAAAGAAATGTTATGGATATTCAAATGCATGAGAAAAAATAATAACTTTTATGAAAGAAAATATTACAATGAATATTAAAATATATAGTAATTAAATTTCCTTTTAATGTGGTTGGTCAGACACACAGATTATCAACTGGAAAAGGAAAGTTTTGCAAGTGATTGTTAAATATTTAACCTCTAGGGGTTCCTATTTCCCAGGCTATTGCTGGAGAAACAGCTCTGGTGGATAATAAGGGCTTTACTCAGACTGCAGTTCAGACTTGCCTCTCTTCAATGTAAATATCCTTTCATTATCTCAGACTAATTAGACTGGGAAAAGCTTCTGAAATTTGAAATTACCTAAATGAAGTAATCTGTGTCATACTGAAGACCCACCTGTAAGCAGTGTAAGTAATTTTCAAGATTCTTTCTACCCCCTCTATTTTTCTGAATCGTAACAAAGCAAATACTTTTAAAATCCCATGTTTACAATACTCCTATATTGTAGGGATAATATGGAATGAGGATATATTTAAAAAAAAAAAATAAAAGAATATCAGGAAGATTAATTATTTATGAAAGAATCTCAGCAAGCAAAGTCAGCTTTCAGACATCTGGAAAGGAGAACTTTGTCTTAAACGTTTGTGTTAGGGTCTTTCAGCTGCATAAAAATTGGCAGTTTTGTTTTTCAGATTCCGTATCAACAGAGCATTTTAGTACATGCAAGCAGTCATACTGACTATAACAGAACTCCTCAGATGTCTAAAATCATGTTTTACTTGGCTGAATGAGCACCTTATGGAAGCAGTGCACTTTGGCAGGGCAGTAACTGGCCAGTGACAGTTTTCAGAAGGCACAGAAGCCGTGCAGAGCTGTAACTCCCAGAGCCAATGAACAAACATCATTCACTGGCATGAAAAGCTGAAAGAGCAAACTAGAATGCAGAAAGCTCGAGACCATCAAGGGCTGGCCTTTCACCTGAATGGGTTTCACCTACTAAGGTCTTACAGGAAAAGATGAAAAAGCTACAAGCCTTGCCTAGAGATGTAGAGGAAAAAAGAAAAAATCAGCTCTGTGAGATATCTTATTTATTTTTGTTCCAAATCAGAAAACTTGAAATTTCCCACACAAGCAATTAAAAATTTTGTTGCATACTTTCCTTTTTATAATGCCAAGTGATATAGTGGAAAATAATATTTATTTAGTATTTATAAATAAGATATATTTAATGTAAAACACATTATGAATTTTAAAAGCTATTACTTTTGATATGAAAGCAATGAGAAAATGAAAAAATTCTTTCAGCATATCTGAAAATAATACATTTCAATATAATGAATATAAAATGAGCAAATGTTTTGGAATTTTAGTGGGAAAAATATTTCATTACATCAATATAAAGGCATTCTCATGAAATGTGATTTTACTAAGACAGTCTTTCCCACTCAAAGACCGTTCCCTCAAAAAATGCAACAGGATTTATTCTCTCTATATATCTCAGCAAAGAACAAAGTGGTTCTACAGAGACCTATCCAGAACTTGGAAAATTTTAAACAAGAAAATATGCTAAATAACAAAGAAACTGGTTACCTTTTAAGGAGGAATCCCATACAGGTAAAGAAATTGAACAAATGATCTGTAAATCTTGTCCATCTCTATTTTATCATTTTAGTTACACAGCCTAAAAACCTGTGCTAGATAAAGGGGTCCAGCCCTGACTCTTGCTTTCCACAATTGTGGGAGAATGTTTTGAGTTTCTTTAACATTACATGGTCTTTGATGCCTATGCTCCACTTCTCTACTGTTTAAACAATGAAGAAAAATGCTAGTTTTAGAACTTTTTAAAGAGTCTCACTTTTCTCCGTGTATCTATTCCTGTATTTATACAACCATAATTCTCAAATGGAATTATAAATATTTGTGAACAAACACATTGCTTATGTAGAAAATGTACTGAATGCTTCATAATAACCTGACCTATATGTGCAAAATTGTGGCATTAAAATAGAAAAAGAATAATGCTTCTGGGGACTCTAGCTCTACCTGTTTTAATGCATGTTCTCTTTGTACTTTCTCTGTAGTCATGGTTATTAGAAGTGATTGAATCAACAGAAAAATAGGAAACTAACCAAAGCTCTGCCCATCTTTCTCATTGAACCTTACAAAACTCGCCTGAGGTTTAAAAGAAGAGTTTGTATATCTTTAAAAAATACAAAGAAAGAACATGCTGTGAATACTTGCAAATTGAGCTGAAACTCCATGCCTTGGGATGGAAGGATGCTGCTAACAATTTTGATATATTACAATTTCTCATGCAACTGTGATTTAGAGCATCCTATACTATTTCACCAACAGTGTAAATCTCATTGCACAGCCTGGTACTTATTATTATACCAATCTTGTTTTAAGTTCAGGCTTTACTAGATAACAGACTGGCAAGTGCAATAAATCCAATTTTGCAGGTACTTGAAAAACATGGGGTCATGTAAATATGTAAATGAAAACATCCCAAAGTGGAAATGATTATTAAACAAAACACAAAAACTATATATTTATAGATATTTAGAAGTTGGCAGAAATTTGATATTTCCTCAACAATTTGAGTAACTATGCCTAGGCTTATTTTTTCTAGCCGGATCCCTGTTTATTGAAAAATACTATCAGATAACTTTTCCAGACTGGTAAAACTACTACAGTGTTTTGCTGCAGCTTTTACATAATTTTTAATGCGAAAACAGCTATTAAAAAAATCTTTTTAATGTGCAGAACTACATTTTATTTAATGCTTTGGCAGTTCTAAATGATAGATTACTATAGTAATCAGTGAAACATACAAATGATTATAAAATGCCCTTAGAGTTATTAACTAGAAATATGATTTGGAAAGAAGGATGTGTTGCCCTTGCAAGACCCACCTTGACTCTAATCAGGCCTTGCAGAAGGACATGGTTTGTATTCAGAGCTGATTGTTAGAAAAGGGTTTAAATAATCATTGAAATTTTACTTTAAAAGGTATCTTCTTTAAATACTAGGAAAAAATAACATGTAAAATTCATTGACTTATATGCTTTGCCAATGAACCTACCCTTTCTTATATTAATAATAATCAATTTAAAATTTGAATTACATTTTTGCATAAATGTATGTCTTTACATGTAGAAAAGGCATGCGTGATTCCAGCCACCCATACAAAGCACACTAGCCATTTACAAAGTCCTGAGAAGGAGGAATCGCATGGTGCAATGGGCATTCTGACAGAATCTCAGAAATGGGGGTCCAATGTAAAAATAATTGCATAAGTACTTGACCTTGAAAATGCTTAACACTCTTTTTTTTGTTTATTTGTTTGTTTTTATAATTCCTTGTATGTACTATGATAAACGCAATAGTTATAAACATTCCAAATTAAAATAATGGACTTACAATGGCCATGAGATATTTGCAACGATTTTCTTTGATGATTGCATGGAAAGGTGCTCAGAAAATTCACTGTACTTACGTCCAGTAAGCTATGGGCACTGTCGCTACTCTCTTTGTTTGTTCTACACATGGCCTGGTAGTCATAAAGTGTAATTCTACAGAGAAGAACAGAAAACTCCTTGACTAAAAGGAGAAAACACAGTGGAGTAAACATGATGATATGGAACAGTCTGCTCACAAAGTAGACGGGAAAAAAAAAGTAACTGCAGCAAGGAAAAGAGGGAAAGGGATTGTTAAAATACACATCACATGAAGGAGAATAAAGGTAAGAAACAGTGTGAAAACTTTTTAAGGATTTTATCAGACTGCAGAACAAAGCAAAAGCATAACTGGGAGAAAACAGGGAAGATACACATAGTGTAACACACAATGAGATAAACAATGCAAGAAGGAGGAGAATACACATTCAACATGATGTTTAAACAATTGGTTCTGGACTGAAACTGGTACATTTAGTCCCAGAAAATGAAAGAACCTATGCATTTGAGGGGCTTCTCACAACAGTCCACTCAAACTCCAGTAAAAGCAAATTACACTTCTGTAGTTACGAGCACCTCAGTGCATAACTAATTTGTAAAAATATGGCATTGCTTCAGAAGAGAGAAGTGGAATTTCTGTGTATTCATAGTATACACAATTGAAACAGCATAGATTTACTTCTGGATTTTTTCATGAGGGCAAAATAGTCCATGCCAGGTACCTGCTGAAATCAACATATTCTAGAAGCCTCCTGAGATGCATAGTAAACAGGAATTTTCTTTCTGCTTGTGATTTTACTTATCATTGACACACTTCAGAGATCTAAATGTAAAATCCAGAACTCAGAGATAGTGTATGGAATTGTGATTATTTCTCTAGATCTGTCTGTCCATAGAAAAATTAACAGACTACATCCATCCACATAAAAAGCATTTAACATCTGTAGCAGATGTAAAGAATAGGCTGATAAGTTTCAACAAGTGTAAATATATAAATGTTACTAGCTTTATTTGAACATATTGATTTGACTTTTGCATCATCAGAGGGACAAGGGATCATGACTGGACATAGATGTCTTAAAGATGTATGAGATGGGACTTCAACATCTTGCAATGTGTGCCTTGCTTCTAAATGAAGACACAAATTCAGCCACAGAAAGGATGTCTCAGAAGCTGCCAAAACCAGGTCATGAAATGCATCACCATAAGGCATTCTGCACTGTATGCCATGAAACATTGCAACCTGTACCAATAGAATGTTTTAATCCATTGTGGTAGAAACTGTATATAATTTTTCAGACCTAATTTTGTGACAGCAACCATCACTAAAAGCTTCTTTGTTATGCCCTGTATTTTCTTTTTGGATTACAGGCAAAAAATCTAAATATATTGGATCACGCAGCTTCAACTAAGCATTAGTACATGGTCACACTGCTTACATTATTCATTCCTATATTCAGAGCAGAAATGGCTAGGAAGCCATTGTTTTGTGGACTGGCAGAGAGAGGCACATGGTAGACAAACGCATAACTAGAGACCTAAACATGGGTGTAAGTTGAACACTGACCATCTTTGGCAGAATCACGCCCACAGCCAGATCCGCGCACACAGATCTGCCAAGACAAACAGAGCAGTACATGGTGTAAGCTGTGCTGCCTGTATGGCATGCAGTAATACACCACTTTCCCTACCATGTTTTTCCTTTATTTTTTCCCCCTTGGTAGCCCTTGTAAGATAATCTCTACAGCTCAGCCTTTCCAGTCTTGGTTGACTATTTTGTTTGTCTACAGTTAAGAGCCATGTTGTATGTCCACATGGACCTACTAGGGATGGTGGCAAGTAATTAAGTGTATGTACAAGGATAGTTTAAGGATTTTAATGTGCTCTCTGCAAAGTAATCAAGGATGTGGATGATATGGTCTCATCCTACTTGATTCAATATCTAATGTTACAAGTTGAATAATATTCAGTTTTGCCTGTATTCTTTGTTAAAGGTTTTTCAATACAACTTTGATGAACATTTATTTGGTATTTGAAAATGAAATCATTTTCTCATCCTTTTCATACACCAGAACCATTTGTTCAATCTGCAGACTCATTATCCTGCTAAGAAGTGTTAATCAAATGTTATTACAGCGTGCCATTTGGAATGTGTTTTGAACTTCAAGTTGAATATTTCGAAGAAGCCTCCCCTCTCCTCCCATACTTACACTTATTAGTGTTAAATTAAAATGTAGTAAATAGTTTCTTTAAATGCTCAAAGATAAAGAGTCATAAATGGACTGAAATATGTACTCAGAAATTAAATTAATATTATGTCTAATATTAATATAAACATGATATTTTTTGTATATTATCTTACTGTATTATAGGGAGTAGACAGCAGTCTAGGATAGTATTACGAGGAAGAAGAAAAAAACATTAAAAGATGTGTAGTTAAATAAAAGTTAATTTAACAGGGGAAAAATACTAAAATTTTCAGTGAAGTAAAAGAAGACAGTAAGAATTGTAAAAGAAAAAAATCTCAAAATCATTGTGGAACACTGCAAAATTGTTGTTTGGAAATGTTTTAATATCATCTGTGGATGATACAACAAGCTTAGCTTTACTACATATATTTGAAGGTGTTGCCAGTGTGAAGATTCTGGTTCAGGAACAACCTGGAAAATAGATAATGTATCCATGTTTACAGAAGGAAAAAAAAAAAAAAAAAAAAAAAGAAAGAAGAAAAAAAAAAACCTTTAGCAAAATCTTTATCAAATCTTTAGAAAAATCTTTAACAAACCTTTAGAAAAGTACATGACAGACATTGAAAACATCCTGGAAAGAGTTCTGATTTTTGAATCATGAATTCCTATCTCAGTGACTTTCCAAGCGGGCAGTCTCAACACCTATCTTAAAGTTTCTAAAGACCACTCATGCTACTATAATACAGAACATGCAAAATATACTCATGAAAGCATTACTGCCAAATGATCTCATAAAGACCTTATTCTTCCACACTAAAAACAAAAAGGAATTTTACGCTATGCTTCAAAGATCAGCAGATGAAGCCTATAATCACGTTGAAATCTGAACACTGCAACATACTGAATCATTTCTGGATTCTCTGTCTCTGTGAATGGTACTGAAGCTCAGTAGAAACGGGTTCCAAGGCATTTACAAATTCAAATAGTTTTGCTTTGTTTTGGTTTTATTCTTGTAAATATACTAGCAAGGTAAGAGCCTTCCAGTCCCATTCCTTGTAAAGGCTAATACAGTATCTGTAGTCAAAACAGTAGCCTAAGACACTGTGGTGCTTCTGTGTTCAAATGTCATTTCAAGGGTGTTATTTTCTTGATAATGTCCTCAAGATTTTACAAAATAAGCTTTCCATCATCCAGACAGATATAATTCACTGTTGCAGAAAGAAAGACTTCTGGATTACCCGTTTTGAAGTGATTGCGTTCCAGTTTTAAATAACTGTTTGCAGCTACCTGTGTCCTGTTCAACTGACTATACTTAAGCAAACCTAATTGCCTGCTTCCCACAATCGAATTTTAAGACCGTCTAGGTGCCATGCTGTGTATTACAGCACTTCATGGGAGATCTATTCTCTTGCTACAAACAACACGTTTGGGACTTTTTGACATCACCGTGCTGCTAACTTCCCCTATTTTCACACCTCATCACTGAAACTTACACAGCAGTTGATTTCAACATCAGCCATAGGACAAACATGGACTACATGTGATAATCTTGAACTAATGAAAGATAACTTTCCAAAAATGAAATGTGTAGCTCCATTGTATGTAAGTTCAGGAGCCAAGTACATTTTAGTGAAAACCTTTTTATTGTTAATTTTCTGATATTCCAGTCTTGTACTTTGCAATGTACTTACAATAAAATACAAATCTGGTTCAAGAAAATTAAGCTTCTAAGACCTACCGGCAGTACAGGCTATACTAACAGATGTACACTATTTCTTTCAGCTAGATTTTTCAGCATTACTATGGATCTCTACTTGGTACTGTGAAATATCATCACAGACAATTATAACAGCTGAAAGATCTTCAATGCATAAAATTTTGTCATCAGTTTAAGGCAGTTGCGGGGTGGGGTGTTCATATGCGTAGGAATAATAAGCTTCTTACTGTGGAATAAACATTTAAAAAAGAACAAATTCTAAAAAAAAAATAACAGCAACAACAACAACAACAAAACATAGGATGCAAACAATAAATGAAGCCCTAATTTTTGACAGTACTGTTTACTCAGTGTTCTATGTAAAAATTAACAGAGATTACAGCTTACTTCTGGTGGAAAGACATTCATTAACTCAGACAAAAGATATTCAGCCTGTGTCATATTCTTGCAAGGAGGAGGAGGAATGACAGTATTGAATGATGTGAAGAGTAATCTAGTGTCTTAATTTTAGAGAGGGTCTTTGCAGGGAGATAGTAGGACATTGTATGGAATCCTGTGCTGTTTCTGTCCTAGCTCTCCCACCTTCATTGACAGATTATCAATATCCAGAAGCTGTCAGACTAATACCTTTCAACAAGGAAATCAAGAAAATGATGAAAAATAAACTAGAGCACTTTGAGAAAACAAATTTGTCATCGCATATCTTTGCTTTTAACATTCAGTTATTCCTAACTGCCAAAGTGCTGCAAAACGCAAGGTGTACAAAACCTACAACTCAACATGCATTTGCAGCATACAGAATGACAATTCATCTACATAGCACACATGTCTAGGTTTCTCCTTAGGTGGGTAAAAGATTTCCAAAATACTAACATATTTCACAACATCACTAGTAATATTTACAGATGTAAGTTCTCACTATGCACAAACTCAGTTTTGAGACATTAATTTTAGATGTTGGAAGGACAAGATAGGAGCTGAAAACACATCAGGATGGGGGTCCTTGTCTGGGTCCTGAGCAATATTGATGACAAGAGCACCATGACAGATATAATTTTTTGCCTACAGGTAACATGCATTTAGGAATAATGTCTTCTTGTAAACCTGTACTAGACAAGATGTTGTTGCCTTATCATTGGAGTGAGGTTATAGAATCACAGAATCATAGAATATCTCGAGTTGGAAGGGACCCATAAGGATCATCAAGTCCAACTCCTGGCACCACACAGGTCTGCCCAAAAGTTTAGACCATGTGACTAAGTGCACAGTCCAAACGCTTCTTAAATTCAGACAGGCTTGGTGCAGAGACTATGTCCCTGGGGAGCCTGTTCCAGTGTGCAACCACCCTCTCGGTGAAGAATCTCTTCCTGATGTCCAGCCTAAACTTCCTCTGCCTCAGCTTAACACCATTCCCGCGGGTGTTTACAGAGAATCACAGAATCACAGATTTGTCTAGGTTGGAAGAGACCTCAAGATCATCGAGTCCAACCTCTGACCTAACACTAACTAGTCGTCCACTAAACCATATCACTAAGTTCAACATCTAAATGTCTTTTAAAGACCTCCAGGGATGGTGACTCCACCACTTCCATGGGCAGCCCATTCCAATGCCTAACAACCCTCTCAGTAAAGAAGTTCTTCCTAATATCCAACCTAAAACACCCCTGGCGCAACCTTAGCCCATTCCCCCTCGTCCTGTCACAAGGCACGTGGGAGAACAGACCAACCCCCACCTCACTACAGACTCCTTTAAGGTATCTGTAAAGAGCAATAAGGTCGCCCCTGAGCCTCCTCTTCTCCAGGCTGAACAAACTCAGCTCCCTCAGCCACTCCTTGTAAGACTTGTTCTCCAGACCCCTCACCAGCTTCAACACCCTTCTCTGGACTCGCTCTAGCACCTCCATGTCCTTCTCGTAGAGAGGGGCCCAAAACTGAACACAGTACTCGAGGTGCGGCCTCACCAGAGCCGAGTGCAGGGGGACGATCACTTCCCTAGACCTGCTGGTCACACTGCTTCTTATACAAGCCAGGATGCTGTTGGCCTTCTTTGCCACCTAAGCACACACTGCTGGCTCATATTCAGCCAACTATCAACCAATACTCCCAGGTCCTTCTCCGCCTGGCAGCTTTCCAACCACTCATCTCCCAGCCTGTAGCTCTGCTTGGGGTTGTTGCACCCCAGGTGCAGGACCCGGCACTTGGCCTTGTTGAACTTCATACAGTTGGCCTCAGCCCATCGGTCCAGCCTATCCAGATCTTCCTGCAGAGCCTCCCTACCCTCAAGCAGATCAACACACGCACCTAACTTGGTGTCATCTGCAGACTTACTGAGGGTGCACTCGATCCCCTCATCCAGTTAATCGATATAGATATTAAAGAGGACTAAAGAATATGTCACCTGCCTCTCCACTCCCCCTCGCGAGGAAGTTGTAAGGTTGGATGGGTCTTTGAGCAACCTGGTCTAGTGAAAGATGTTCGTGCCTATGGCCAAGGGGTTGGACTAGATGATCTTTAAAGGCTCTTTCCAACCCACACCATTTTGTGATTATGTGATTCTACATACTCTAACCATGGGCTATATTCTGAATTTACTTTTACTAAATAAATTCACTGTTAAAAATAGTGTGATTAGATAAAAATATAGATTTTTATAATCTAAGAACTGCAATATCACACTTACATTTATCCACTAATAAATCCAGTAACTCAATTTTGAATTGTTCCTTCACTCTAGCACTGATCTTCTCCAAAGTATACATCTACATTCCAAAACATTGCCAAATTTATATAAAACAAATGTCATGATATTTTCTAAAGATCAAATAAGTGGCTGTAAAAATTCACATGAAAATAAATGCAATTTCTAAATACAACAGAGTCCATTTAGCACCTTCACCAAATTTCAAGAATTCTAATCTAAATGAATGCTTAATTAAGATAAAGTATCCTAAACTAAACAAACAAAAAATATCATTCATTTGGAAGCTGTGCTGCCTCAGTGGGAATCAGCAACCTGCTGGTGATCAGTTACTGTTTTCACGTTTTGACTTTAAGAATGTTTTGCTCCTTGCAAGTAGTTTCACAAAGAGTTCTGAATTTTTGTATAATCTTATAACTCAGAGCCAAAACACTTGTTAGGTTTGGCACACAAAGCAAATCAAGACAGGGAGATGAAAGCCTGCCTCTATGTGCATCTATTTAGAGAACACAGGTGAAGGATTTGGACTTTACTGTGCTGTAAGGGCATAGACAGCATGTATTATTCACTAGGAAGGATGAGAGTTAAGATAGAGGAGCAGAGGGTGAAAAAGTAAGAGATGAGAAGAGCTCTCAAAGCATTAAGAACTTGTTAGAGTGAGCTTAGCATCTGGAAAAGTTGAAACTAAGAGGTGCACCATTTAAGTACTGTATCCTGAAAACAGGACTAGACACCAAAGCACAGACTCATCTTCAGATGCCAAGAGGATGCCTAGTAGAAATAGAACTGTTAAGATGAAATGATGCTACTTCCATATTTGCCTTATAGAACTGATTAGTTTTCCTTGTTCTGGAAAGGATCAAAGTGTTTTCAAGTCAAGATACATTTAATTTCTACTACAGATTTATTAATTTAATTTTGTTGGGGATCTCACTGCTTTGATGGCCCTTGATTTTTTTTTTTTTTTTCTAATGCTAAACTTTTTCTTTAGATTTTCATGCTTTGAGCAGTAGAATCTTTATTCTCCCCAATGTTTTTACACAAACAAACTGCTGAGGAAACTATAAAGAATTTTTTTTTTCTGAGTTATGTGAAGCAGATACTTTTCCAAAAGCACATTTTTATTTAATAATGAATTTAAATTATATTTTAACTATTTAATTGTATGCAATATTCAGGGTATAAAGATAAACTTCATTCTCCTAAATGAAATCACAGAACATGTCACGTTGCTGTGGAGACACTGATATCATTTTATCCTCTAAATATAAAACCCATAAACTAAGAAAATATACATACATATGTACATACATAGTATTCAAAAGAAGTACTGAGTTTAAAGAAATTAGGGATGGAATAAATTATTTAAGTTCACTTTAAAAAACTAAACAGCTAACACTAAAATTTTATTTCATCCTGCTACAAGTTGAAAACAAATATAGTCAGAAGCAAGCAACACACTTTTGTTTAACACTTCCAGCTCAATCCTAAAAAAACCCTTCTATATCCATCCAAATTAGTGGTAGTTGAGAGAACTCACAAAGGGTTATTTCATTCCTTTTGCGGACAGAGAGCCTGAAAGCAGGCATGAACCAGTGAGGCAGTAGCACATATCTCCACGGCTACTCAGTGATGCCAAAGGAAGAGAGGGCTCCCATCCCCACAGTTGCTGGGCATGTCAGGAAACTCTTCTGCAGAGAAGATCAGGCAAGGTAGAACCTTCTACTTCTAAAACAAATTACAAAGTAGCAACACCAGTTCTAACAGCGCAATGTTATTTAATTCAACTGCTGAATGGGAGATGCCATGTAAGAAACGGTCTGTGAGGAAGGATGGCTCTGGAAAATCAGAATAAAAGGCTAAAGATCAGAGCTTGGTCTCTGATTTTGTCTTCATGGTAAGAGCAGAAATTACAAGGGTAACGCATGCATATATATAGTGCCCTTGGGGAAATCAACGGGTAATAAATTCTGTCACCATTTATTGCTTTTTTCTTATTCCATATGAAAATAAGATTTGGATAAAAAAAAATCCTCATAATAAATATAGTAAAAATATGGTAAATGTGTATGAGTATTTTTCACTAGAGAAGCAAAGATTCCTCTTTAATGTTGATAGAATAATTTAATTTTAAATGCCTCATCTACCACAGCTGAAAAACAGTGTTGCTGCACCGAGCTATCTGCTGTACAGCAGGAAAAGCAGGTGGCTCATTTAGTGCAATTACACCACTTTGATTCTCTCCCATTGTTAACTTTATTGGCAGTGACCAGTTTATTGTGTTTTAATAATCAGCTTATTGTGTTTACTTTTCTTTAGTATGCAGCTCCGTTGCACTGAGCTGGTGGCTTATTTATCTGTAACTCCCTCGCAGCTCGAGACCAGAAAAATCATAAGCCAATGATCCATGCCAAGCTGGCACCCACCACAGTTTAGATGGAATACTTGAGTCATGCAGCCTTTGTTTCCTGGTACCTAGTACCATTAATTGTTCAGTAGATATTTTGTTTGAAATGCCTTGGTAGGCAGGACAAAACAAAGTGGGATGAAGTAAAGCATTATCCTTTGATTTTAACTGTACTTTTTTTTGTTTGCATTAAATAAAATGCCTCATCCCATGTATAAACAAATCTTTTCATTCTAGAACCCACTCTATAAATAAAATAAACTTCACTTCCTTTTACAGCATATGTTAAGAATGTAGTGCTAAACACACAAAAGCTGCCACCCTCGAAGAACTAGGATATGGGATGATTCAGCAAGTGCTAGATCTTACCATTTCAGGTCAGTCATTTACTGGGAATGGTATTCAGCTATAATGTGCAGAGGAAAAGCTTTTTTCCTTTAATGCACATAGAAAGCTTTCTGCCTTTAACAGAGCTGGTTTACCAAGGAAGCACACAACCATCTGTTTTGAAAGCCTCTGTATACATCCTCACATGCAATAACTCAATTCAGTGTTTGATGGGAACATGTGTTATTTTTTTATACTAGAAATGCACAACAAAGTAAAAAGGAAAAGTACTATGCACATGGACTGCACTTCCAGCATAGGGGGAAGGAACAGTTCTTAGCAATGTGGAAGCCACGAAGACTTCAGTGCTGAGTTACGGGTTAAAGGGAAATGTTCTTCACCAGGATTCATACTCATTTCAAAGGACAACATCAGATCACCATTAGTTTTTATTGTTATCATTATATTGTCACCAGATTAATAGCCACAGCAATGTTCAAAGGTCAGTTAACGTGTGAGGAAAAAATACTATAGGAACGCTCTTATAACAGTAAGGCACTTTTCATTGCCCAGTTTGAGGAATCTCCGACTCTAGATGTTTAATGTTGCATCAGTGATTTGCTCTAGAGCCATTTAAAACCATTCAGTAGTATATATCGTCAAATCCCACTTCCACTTGAGCACAGTGGAAACAGGAGAGGCATATGATTTTAGCATCGCAGTCCAATAAACAAGAAACTCCCTGTAGGTTGTCTCCAATACTCTTAACATGCAAGGCACCAAATTACACTAAGATGATATAGAAAAAAAAAGGCATAATGAGAATCCAGCTATGCTGTCAATCTTGACCTTCTTTTATATGACTTCAGTTTTGTTTAATTTTGTTTTTGCAAAATTTTATAAGAGATAGAGCATCAGTTTAATTCTTACCTCTTAAAGGAGCCCATTGTTAGTAATTTGTTCATCACAGCACCTTCAACCTCCCCAAAAAAGTTACCAGTCTGCAAGGGAAAAATACAAAAAATTGCTGGAAGTGTAGATAAATGCGAAACAACACTGGATGCAATTTGAACTAGCATATTCTGGGATCTGACAAGAGTGGCTTTGACAGCTACATAGATAGGTTTTCAGGACTATTGCTGCATAAAAACTGAAGAGGACTTCATAGTCATGGCAAGTTATAGGGATTCTATTATTACTCCTGAGCAGATGTGAGAGCTTATACAATAGATTGAGGGACATTATATAACATCTAATATCAGAAATAAAAGCCATCCCAACCTAAAGCTTGTAAAGGAAACACACTAATCTGATCACAAATCCTTGTGATTAAAATGTTACTCAAAAAAGATCTAAACAGGTTGTGAGAGGCTTTCATAAACAGTCATAAAAAAGCATTGTTTATAATTCCTGCATGACCTGTTTAAGGAGCTGGAATAGTACTTTTCAGCAATCCTATAAATTTTAACTGCATTCAGAATCATTTTGTACTTAAAACCACTCAACCTGATGAATTACCCATTTCGTCCTTGTTATTAACTAAATGTAGATGAATAAAAATAAATCTCTGTTGAGAAAACAAACATTCGTGTTATGAATTTGGTATGTAATACGGAACTGACTCTGTTTTCTGCAGCCATTCATATGATATTCAAAAATCTTGCATGTATGGCATTCTCTCTTGTTTGGAAAGACTTTTTTTTAATCTTAGGACCTCAACTCCCAGAAGGATTGAGTATGTTCTCTGCAGTGTTTAAAGGAAAACAAACAAACAAACAAACAAACAAAAAACATAATTTATGAGGGTAAAGGGCACCACACTTAAATTGCATGGATTCCATAGGTTTTGTATGAAGTAAACCTCAATTCCATTACAAGGAACTTACTTGACCTCAAGTATGCACCTGGGAGTTTGCAGGCAGAGAAGTTACAGCCCTAGCCAAAAATGGCATTCCTCTACCAAAAAAAAAGAAGTATTAACTTTTTTTTTTCTTCTTTAAAACAAACAAACCCAAAACAAAACAACAAGAAGAACCAAAAACACTCAGGAAACTTGGCATATTTTCCAAAACATATGTGCGTGCAAAGTCTCCTAGAAACAAGAAGAACATTTGTGGTTTACATGACTAAAAATACTAGCTTCAGTAGCCCTAGCTGACTGATGAAGAAAGATTATCCTAACTATGAGAGAGGCAGTCAGTTAATGTCAAAAAGCCCAAACCATAAATGACTAATATAACCTTAGATAGTAATAAACTTGATTTTTCAAGATGTGCTTCAGTCTTATAAAGACATTTCCGTGACAGTTCTCTCCACAAAAGATCCATCTGTAAATTCTTCAAAGCAGTTCTCTTCAAAGCAGTAACACCCAGATAATTGTAATTTTTAATATATTTGGATTTGGTGATAACTCAGATGAAGAATTACACTGCCCCAGGACAAGATTCTTAGAGTGGTTCAGGTCACTTATGGCACGTCCAAAGAAAAACAGTGCTGAAGCACATTCAGGAAAGAACACCTGTTTCTTATTCCATGAAATGGTAGGAAGGTTTCTCCCTGTATATGTACTTTAGGATACAATGACAAAGGAGCAAGAGTCCATCGGTTTTGCTTGGGGTTCTTGTAAAAACAGCATGTTATCACTTGCTCTCTGACCTTCCATCAGCAGTGAGTGATTTACAGCTGCTTGTCTCCTAGCTCAGAAAACAAATAGGCAAGACTCACATATATTTGATGTTACGGGCAGGAATAGACATTGTTCCAAATAACTTAATATCTGACACATTTCTAGCCGAGTTATGGTCCTACATCTGTCCATGATATATTCTTCATAGGAATATGTAATAACTAGTATCAGGTAATCTACCAAAGAAAATATCTCTTCCTAATTGTATTTATTGACTGTAGCCAACTATCAACTAGCAAATGAATTACACAAATACCAAGCACAACAACAGTGGGACAAACCAGACAAAATGATTTCAGTGTATCATCATTATTTTATAATGACTGTTATTCTTGTGTCAATGATCAACTAAGTAGAAAATATATATTTGATAGCTGTAGGGGAAAAAATGTTTCTAATATAATGCACTTAATGTTTAAAAAACACCATATTTTTAGTTCATGTCATTTTATGGGTACACCCTCAAATGATATTCATAACGTGCTTGACATTTTAAAGGGTGGAAGCAATACATGTAAAACAAAATAATACCTGCTACTGGTCTTTCAGACTGGTAATGAGGAAGTAGCAATGAGAAGTCCGAGAGTGATCAAAAGGGAATTTAGGGCTTTGGGGTGACTACTTAAAGGATCAGGGGCATGGGTTGTGTTTGCCCCTGTCCTTCCGATAGAGAGGATCGATCCTGACAAGTGGGCTCACCGCATTAACATGTGGCTTTGGGACTGGTGCAACTGACAGAACTTCGGGTTTTTCGATCACGGGAAGGTCTACGTGACACCAGGCCTGCTGTCACCAGATGGGATGCGCTTCTCTCAGAGAGGGGTAAGGATTTTGGCTCAGGAGTTGGCAGGGCTGATAGATAGGGCTATAAATTAGAGTTGAAGGGGGAAAGAAAAAAAACAAAACAGACATGCCAGTGATGAGCTAAGTGATGGTGTGCTAGAATCAGAGGGGCTGTGTGCCGGTGAGGTCCTTCAGTTGGCTCCACAAGGTGCTGTGTATAGGGAAGTGCATTTGAAGTGCTTCTACACAAACACACACAGTATGAGGAATAAAATGGATGAGCTAGAAGTCTTGGCCCAGTCTCACAGCTACAACATCATCGGCATAAGTGAAACCTGGTGGGATGAGTCCTGTGGCTGATGTGCTGCGATAGATGGTTACAGGCTCTTCAGGAGGGACAGGCAGGGTAGACAAGGTGGCGGGGTGGTGATGTATGTGAAGCATGGGCTGGACTGCATGGAACTTCAAGTTGGGGATGGCAAAGTTGAGTGCCTCTGGGTAAGGATTAAGGGACGAACAAATAAAGGGGACGTCGTACTGGGAGTCTATTACAGACTCCCGGCCACCCGGCCAGGACGACACCACCGATGAATTATTCTTTGCAGAACTAAGAGATGCCTTGAGGTCAACTCCTCTTGTCCTTATGGGGGATTTCAACTTGCCAAACATCAACTGGGATCACCACATGGCTGACACGAGCAAGTCCAGGAGGTTCATAAAGTACCTAGATGATAACTTCTTGGCACAGGTGCTAAGGGAGCCAACTAGGAAAGGTGCCCTCCTTGATCTGTTGCTGGAAAACAGAGACGGTCTTGTGGGAGATGTGGCAGCTGGCGGCCGTCTTGGTCATAGTGACCATGAAGTGGTTGAGTTTAGAATTTATGGTGACAGAAGGAAAACTACCACCAAAACTTCAGCTCTGGATATGGGGAAAGCTCAGGTTGCTCAGGGAACTAGTCAGCAAGGTCCCCTGGGAAGCTGCTTTTGAAGGCATTGGCGTCCATCAGTGCTGGTCAGTCTTTAAGCACTGCCTCCTAAAAGCACAAGCTTTTTGGCGATTCCAAAATATCGGAAGTCAGGCAGGTGGGGCAGAAGGCTGGCCTGGCTGACCAGGGATCTTCTACTGGAGCTTAGGTGAAAAACGGAAGAGTACGGCTGCTGGAAGGATGGTCAGGTGACGAGGAAGGAATACAGGGATGCTGTTTGTGTTTGTAGGGAGAAAATTTGTGGGGCCAAAGCCCAGCTAAAATTCAAGCTGGCCATGTCTGTGAGAGACAATAAAAACGTTTTTAAGATACGTGAACAGAAAAAGGAGAACCAAAGAAAACATAGGCCCACTACTTGATGGGGAAGGTCTCCTCACAGACAATGACATAGGCAAAGCGGAGACAATAATGCCTTCTTTGCCTCTGTCTTCAACACTGATGATGGGCTTCAGGACCCTGGGTGCCCTGAGCTGTAGGACCATGACGGTGGGAATGACAAACTCCCAACCAAACCTGAACATGTGCGGGATTTGCTGCTCCAACTGGATCCGTACAAGTCCATAGGTCCGGATGGGATCCATCCCAGGGTGCTTAAAGAGCTGGCTGATGTCATCACGGGACCTCTCTCAATTATTTTTCAATGATCTTGGGAATCTGGAGAGGTCCCAGTAGACTGGAAGATGGCGAATGTGCCAGTTTTCAAGAAGGGTAGGAAAGAAAACCCTAGCAATTACAGGCCTGTCAGTCTCACGTCAGCGCCTGGTAAAATTATGGAGAAGGTGATCCTTGAAGTTACTGAAGTGCTCCTGGGGGACAAGGGGACAATGCAGTCATTGGTCCCAGCCAACATGGGTTCATGAGGGGTAGGTCCTGCCTAACAAATTTGATTTCTTTTTATGATAAGATCACCCATCTAGTCGATCAAGGGAAACCAGCTCATGTGATCTTTCTGGACTTCAGCAAGGCTTTTGACACGGTTTCCCATAGGATCCTACTGCACAAAATGTCCAGCATACAACTTAACAAAAACATCGTACGATGGGTGAGCAATTGGCTGATAGGCAGGGCTCAAAGGGTTGTGGTTGATGGGGCCACATCTGGTTGGTGGATGGTCACTAGTGGGGTCCCTCAAGGCTCCATTTTAGGGCCAGTCCTCTTCAATGTTTTTATAAATGATTTGGATGTAGAACTAGAAGGAGTTCTGAGCAAATTTGCTGATGACACCAAACTTGGAGGAGTTGTGGACTCAGCTGAGGGTGGAAAGGCCTTGCAGAGAGATCTGGACAGATTGGAGAGCTGGGCGATCACCAACCACATGAAGTTTAACAAAAGCAAGTACCGGGTCCTGCACCTGGGACGGGGCAACTCTGGCTTTACGTACAGACTGGGTGATGAGATGCTGGAGAGCAGCCCCGCAGAGAGGGATCTGGGGGTTGTGGTTGACAGCAAGTTGAATATGAGCCAGCAGTGTGCCCTGGCAGCCAGGAGGGCCAACCGTATCCTGGGGTGCATCAAGCACAGCATCGCTAGTCCGTCGAGGGAGGTGATTGTCCCGCTCTACTCTGCGCTGGTCTGGCCTCACCTCGAGTACTGTGTGCAGTTCTGGGACATTAAACTCTTGGAGAGTGTCCAGAGGAGGGTGACGAAGATGGCGAAGGGCCTGGAGGGGAAGATGTATGAGGAGCAGCTGAGACCACTGGACCTGTTCAGCCTGGAGAAGAGGAGGCTGAGGGGGAACCTCATCGCTGTCTACAACTTCCTTGCAAGGGGGAGTGGAGAGGCAGGTGACCTATTCTCTGTAAACACCAGTGATAAGACCCACAGGAAGGGTGTTAAGCTGAGGCAGGGGAAGTTTAGGCTGGACATCAGGAAGAGATTCTTCACCGAGAGGGTGGTTGCACACTGGAACAGGCTCCCCAGGGACATAGTCACTGCACCAAGCCTGTCTGAATTTAAGAAGCGATTGGACTGTTCACTTAGTCACATGGTCTAAACTTTTGGGCAGATCTGTGCAGTGCCAGGAGTCGGACTTGATGATCCTTATGGGTCCCTTCTAACTCGGGATATTCTATGATTCTATGAATAAATTTCAGCCTTCAGTTTTGAATATAAGACAGCATATTGTGAAGAATGACTACTTCACAACTCAGTACGGTATCTGTTTAGCAGCTAATGCTCCAGAACTGGATTGGAAGGATAATGGTTTTTAGATAAAATACATTTTCCTTGCTTATTAGTTGCTAGCATACTCAATCAAAGTGGAGCAAGGGACAAAGGGATTGTGGGGAAAGATTATCCAATTCCTTTTGAGCAATGAAATAAACAAACATCTGTATCTTTTTTCTTTAAGAAGTTTCATATTTAAGGCTGCAATAATTCAAGCTTTTAATTTAGAAGTGAAATGTTCAGTTTGGCTTCTTTTTTGCCATCCACTTAAAGTGCTTTTTTTTTTTTTTTTAAATCTCCTCTCCGGTCACTCTTCTAAGTCACCCAGAGCACTTTCTGATAGCTGTTTCCCAGTAACCAGAGTAGTCATAACAAATGTAGTTCTCCTAAAGGCTGAGTAAGAGTACGGATAACTCCTATGCACAGTTCCAACACAGACAAGAAATTCAATTTCAGACAACTCTGTCATAACTGAGGCAGCATCCCATCAATTCTCAGGCAAATGTTTATGAGGGGGTAGTGGTGGGTTCTTAATAAGGTTTGCAGAAATGAAGAATTATACATTCATTTTTCAATTAGTTTCCATGAATGCAAAGCAAATTAATGTTTTAAATGATCTCCCCATTAATCATGATCCTTATCCTCTCTATTGTGGTGCTGATTGCTGAATTTTAGTCCTTCAGTGGCTGTAATACACTTCAGAAAACAAACTCTTCAGCAAACACCTGTGTAAAATTTCATTATCTGAAGTTTGAATGTAAGAGCTCTGCATGCCCAGCCTTCTCCCTTCCTCCCCACCCTTCATAGGTGGCAAAAATGCCAGAGTAAATCTTTCTTCTTGGGGTAAAAATTTATCACGGAAGATAGACAGTTCTTCAGCAAACAAGCCCTTTCAGAGAACAGTTATGGGTTCATGACTCTACACCACTGGGAGACAGAAACTGAGCTCCTGCGAGAGGCAGCTCACATTATTTATTGAAGGAAGTTTTTAACTTCATGCTACTAATTACTTAATTTAAGACAGCTGTCTATTTTAAATAAATAAATAAGATAAATCAGTAATAGCAGTAACTGAATAAGAATCTTTCACTTACCTGCCTATAGTCTTCAGACACTAAAATAAATCCATTGTTATCTATTAGGTAGCAACTGATAGACTGAAAAAAATAATTAAAAATACAATTCAGATTCCTGGTTTTAGGATACAGCAATAACTTAGTTTACTTCCAAATGACTTCTACATAGATAAAACTTTCTTTCAGGTTCTTTTAATGGTTTATGTAACTTCTAAGTGGATGTAGTCTCAACTCATGGGATGTTACCCGATTTAGTTTTTATACAGTTAGTCCACGCAAAACAAAACAAAGATGTATATAGAAATAAAAGTTATAAAATAATTATAACAAACATTAAAAGAACAGGATCAGTGTTTGTTTTGTTTAATTAATTCTTAGAAGTATTTCCTTGTAACAAGGTTTGCAAAGGCATAGAACTTTGTTGCTCCTGATGGCTTATCCTGTGTTCGGAGAAAAACATCAGCACAATGTCATTACTCTAATGATGTATTAATGAAAACAGTGTCAGCCTAGAGGACCAACAGGGGACCAGGTAGTATTTTTTAATTTGGTCATTGGGGGAGGGGAACAGAAACTTCTGTAAAAGAGGCCCCATAGGTCTCCTAAAAGCTTTTCAAATTGTGTTTTTAATTGGGAACTGGATTCAGAGATAGGACTGTTAGCTTTTCATAGGTCGGAGTTATAAATTGCATAAAACTAGGTAAACTCAAATCAGTGCTTCCCTCCATACGTGCATGCACTATTGTAACCTTAAGTGAATTACTTGCTACAGGCAAAATTTTAATTACTGTGCTTCAGAGTTTAAACATAAGGTTCAACTCAAACCTTGATATAACTCAGTTTCTCTTCATTATTGCCAAATACCTACCTCAGTATTACATCCTTAACATGTTTCTATCATTAGTCTAAATCAGCAAACATTTTAACATTGTTCCCTGAATTTTTAGTGACATTTGTGTAAAAAAATTGTAGGGTGGCTTCCAATACAGGAATCATCATGGCTTTGCTTCTCATTCAAAACTTTTCCTGCTGTGAAGGGGCTGAACAGAAACATGATAAAATGTGCTTTCTGCTACACCCTGTACACCTCCAGCAAAATCCCTCTGCAGTTTTATAAAGAAAAGTAGGGCTGATTCTGCAGTAGCAGTTGCTCAGGGTGTTGTGAAAATGTAGCCTAATTTTTCAAGAGATTCCTAGATGAGTTTGATTCTCACTCTGGCCATACATTCTGTGGAACTGCAGAAGAGGGATTGGCAGAAATGCTGGCATGAAGCTTAGTTTTGAAAATACAGAGAAACCCAAAGCAGGCAAAAGTTTGAAATGACTGTAATTCTCTGATGCAAGTGCAGGCTATTCTTTCTAATAGGGGAACTAAGCTCTAGGCACCCCTAGTGGAAGAAAACACATCAAAAATGAAGTTGAAACAACTCATTATTTCCAAACTTTGATCTGTTAGAAAGCCAAAAACTGTCAAATGCAACATGACAAGCTGATGATTCTGGCAAGCAACTGAGTAGAGCTAATTCATTCAGAAGAGGCAGCTACTTAACCTCAATGGTGTGTGAAGAGTGGAATTTCAGAAGTTGGACTGTAACTCCATAATACTACTATCCCCAAAGTCTATCATAAACCTCCCATGAACTTTATTGAGAGAAAAGCTAAGCCAACAAAGAGCTCTTTTGAGGACACTTAAAGTCTTCATGCATGAAAGATTAATCTAAAGACAGTACATAAGAAAAAATATTTCTCCACAGCATAGAAAATAATTAAGAGTAGTTACATTGGGTACATTGAGACAGTGTAGGCTTAATTTTGTAATTTATGGATTACATACAGTTGGGTAAACACTGCTGTGACTCAACAGTACGTATCCACATGGGTCAAATCTCTAAGCCATAGTCATTTATTAGTACTGTTCAAAATTTTAAACGATGCTAATGATAGCTAATTGCACTAAGTGGAAACTGCATCTTGTTAGAGATGTTTGAAGATAACTAGGTTTCTATTTCTATCCATTTTAGAAACATTTAACTATGGTGAAATGTTCATTCAGGACCACTCATTCACCTATCAGCCAGCAAGATAACTAATTTTCACTATTCGGTACTACACCAAAGGAACATTTTGCAAATGAAATTTAGCATTTGAAAAGGACAGTGGGGTGCATTTATTTGTCCACTACATCAGAAAATCTCAAATAGAAAATGACAAATGTAAAATTAACATATGGGATAATAATATTTGCATAGACTACAACTGTATGAAAAAGGTTTAATTCACAATGGTTCACAGGTGTTGGAAGTGAACTACATACAGGTTTGCCCAAAGGTTCAAATTCAATGAACTCCAGATTTCAAGGGGAACATTCTGTAGGTGGAGAGTCCCTGAGCTTGTAAAACAGAGCAGGCATGAAGTCCAGAATAAACACTTCAAGAATGTTGACTGAGGTCTGAGAACACATTTGGAGTACAGTAACTTTGATGAAGTTCAAGTCCTCTATGTATTTGTCACAGTTCCAATATATAACAACAGTAATGGAATGTTATAAGGGTTAAGAAACCCAAATAAAATAAAATAAAATAAAATAGAATAAAATGTGAGACTACAAAAACAAGAAAAAAGAAAAAAAAAATACTTCTGAGGAATTGAAAATCTGTCATGCAACTGCATTTCAGAATCAAATTCCTCAGCTAATTCTTTGCATGACTACTGTGAGACCCTATTTCCATTAGTTTCATTTCTTAATACTTTTAAGTGCTTTAATTTGTATGGTAATTGTTCATTATATATTTTCTTACTGTTGAGAAAAGACAGCTGTGGAGTATTATTGGGGACCTGTAATATTTGACTGAGTCCTATTAACAGATAGTGTATCAAAAAAAAAAAAAAGCTTGGAACCTCTAAATTATCAAGGTTCAAATTATCAAGGTTCATACAACTTCTCCCTGTGTTGATCCTCCTGTCCTCCTGCCGATGTCAATTGAAAATAACTGAAAAGCCTTTGAGCAGCATTTTCTTTGCCTATGAATGTAATATAAAAAGAAATTCCTTATCCTTATCATTGTATACTCAGTTCTTCCCATGGACAGACCATAAGCATCTTTGCAGCAATGCTAATATATCAACAATTCTTGTCTGGATGAAGCAGTTGAACACGTTGCAGCCAGGAGACTCCTTTACAGAAGAAATTGTGTACTGTTAACTATTTTGTCACAAAGGCTATCTCAAACAAAGGAAGTCAACTCTGCTCAGCTTTTAATCCTGCAAGTGTGGTGCCTTATGCTAAATGAGATTTTACACAGCACTCTGTGCAGACTATGTGCAGTTATACTTCTCAAACTCGTTGGCTATGACTGGAAACCTACTGATATTTAAAGGTGATGGAAACAACTCAAGGTAAAGTATGCACCTTAAATCTGTAGCAAGTTATAATAAAACAAATTCAGGAAACTTTAGCTAATTAAAAGTTCCACAGACCTGGTTTGTCAATGGATGCATGATCACTTTTAGAAGAATGGGATAATAAACATTATGAGATCTCCTTAAAATCATTGTTAATGCAAATGACAGCCTGAAATTGGGGCTAAATAGGTAGCTTTCACACACATACACCTGGGAGGAATCTGTTTGTTTTATATATATATATTTTTTTAAATAGTTTATTAATAATTAATAATTATAAGTTTACCTTACTTGGTTAAAATAATACAAGCTGCAAATGGAGAAGTCTGTAAGTCTTTACAACTAGAAATGCTAAAGACTCATAAGGTCCATTTCATGACCAAAGATGGCATGATCATCACAATTCTGTGTTATAGCTTACTGCAAGTTTTCCATTATTTATTACTATCTCTGTCCTTCAGATTATCTTCTTCTGCTGAAGAAGTTAATGCTCTACTCTTATAATTGCTGATGTCTGAAGTTTTGTCTTTGTCTCTGGAATGGTTTTTGTGATCTGAATTTCATACTGAACAGACATATTTAAAAAAATAAAATAATATATATATATCACTGCATGTGCATACTGGATTCATTTTTCAATAAAACACACTTCAATGTCTCTTTATATGGGGTTATGAAGTAGAATACTAGAAGTGTGATTGCTAAAATGGATGATGTATCTTTAAAACTTTTTATAATTTTATACAAAAGTAATCCAAAAAATAAAATAACATCGTTTGCCTTAAAGAACAACATATACAATGTAATAAAAATCGATGTTAGAAAGAATTCTCAAATAGATTTGTGAACTTTTTTGACCATAGTTATTTGGATTTTGAATTACATGTTCTCCAGAAAGCCCAACCCAGCTCAATTTTCATTACAGGAAATATCACAAAGTACTTTATGTCACTACTTTTGGTATTGTTATTATTATTATTATTTTAATGTGCTGAACAGCCCTGAATGAATTTTGGGCTACTCCAAATGAATCAACTACTGAACAGGTAGGAATACAATCAGAACAGTGGTCCAGGTGGTGGAAAATGTAGGGATTTCGTTGGAAATACATTAATACAGGACATGCAGCACCTCTGAGAAAAGAAAGGTGTGCCTAATTCAAATGCTGAAACAGTCAGGAATAGATCTTTACATCCAGACTAGAACACGGATAAGAAAAGACAACAGAGAAACAGAGAAAATTAAGACTTATGGAATATGACAAATAATGTATGTTGGTTTCTACTGTAAAAAGAATAGACAGGAATTTGTGAGAACTTGAAGATCTTCAGAAGAGATGAAGAGGGGCTGTTTAAATACCAGAGTTTTCAGTGGTGGGGGGAAACAGTTTTCAGTTTGCTGTACAAATACTTTTTATCACTTTGTTGTAAAGGGTGTAAATGGCAGCAAAAGCTAAGAACACACTGACTGCTCACTTCTGGCAATACAGATAGCAGCTTCTCTGAAAACAACTGAGATGTATAAAAACAGAATAAAACTGTATGAAAACTTTATAATTATATTAAACAATAGGTATTCTACTTTTTAAATAGATCACAAAAACATTACATTGGCATGAGTTACAGAGGCAAGCAGATTCTTGCCTTTTAATGTATGTTTTGCAACAGTTCTTTTGGATCACTGTGTGAAAAGAGAATTTCCTATTCATCTGTTTTTTTGCCATGGTTCTCAAATATTACTAGAATTACTATTTTTCAGGATAGTGCCCTTGAACTACGTGAATACAGCCTGAAGTTTTTGTTTCCAGTTGTATGAATTTATATTTCATGATACTTTAATGCAGGCAGTTTGTTCAAGCACAGTTATTAGGTGACCCAGATTTCCTCACACAATTCGTTCAGTTTGGAGATCATGCAATGTTGTTATCAATAACTGGTTTATGTTTTCTTCCAAATTACTGATAAGAACTATACCTGAAACAATATCTAAAACCCAACTCTGATTTGCTAGAATCTTGCATATTTAATTCCTTCCCATGTATCAGTACAGACAGTACTTTCTTAACCATTTTTTAATTCACTCAACCTGTGACACATTGGTTGCTTGATAAAAATATCATATGGTATGATATTAAATGGTTTGCAAAAGCCTATGCATAAGACACTAAAAATATTATTTTTATCTACCAAATTAAATATTACGTAAAAAGTTATTTTGGTGAGATCACTAAGAACTACTGACTGATGTTATTTCTTTTCTATTTCTGAAGTGCTATTCATGTATTACTACTGCATAGATTCAATTCTGCATTTATATTATACTGGTAATAATTTATTTAATATTTGTGTGAACATCAGAGACTAGTTTCTACCTCAGGTGGACAATTAAGAAGTAGAAAATAAATGCTTTAGAATAGTTTCATGTGACTTCCAAAACTGGATTAATAAAACAAAATTTACTCCAATGCATATTTGAGATATCACTGTCAACCTCATAAATAAATGGATGTTTGTAAGTAGTCATAAAATGTCTAATATAAATTGCATTATATTTGGAAGGTGATTCCTAATTATGCCAGGAGATTAATTTTGTTTGAACATCACAGTGTACATTATAATCAACTTCATGTTCTACTGCAACAGGTATATAAATGGAAAATAAAGTTCTGTTAAATACTTACTTCATCATCACAACTTATAGCACATCTGCCATCAAGAGATGCACACTAGAGACAATACCAAAAATCAATAAAATATTTCAGTTTTAGTTTTATAATTCAAATAAAATGACATTTCCAAAATCAAGGTGAGCACAATTATAAAGATTTGGACATAGTTTCAATTTTTATCAAAGCCAGAAATTGTTCTAAAAACAAGAGTAGGGAAGTATTCAATCTATTCACCAATCATGTTCTGTTCCATAAAGAAAGGGTGCATTCACAAGGTATCATTGTCAACTGCTATAAACACCTTCATCTCCTTTGTGTTAGCAGCTTTTGACCATTTGTCAACAAGAATATGTGATTTTCCAGTGGGGTAGGGTAGGACCAGCATTTTAGGAATCATTCTCTGAAATAGTATGGTTCCAATCTATTCTCAAAATATGGGTGAAATCTCCTAATAATTAGAAAATGTATGATCAGCTCTTCAATGAACAAAAATTCTATATACTAAAACTTTAGGTATAGTTTATTAAAGACTATAGATGCCAAGCCTGATTCAGTAGCCTAGTTGACTAATCAATGTACATGATATTGGAATTAACTAAATGTTGGAAGAAAGGTACTAAGTTGGCAAGAAGACATATTTCTGCCTGTATTTCTATATCACTGAAAATGAATAAATATAACTACTTGGTCTGCTGTTCCCCTTTTTCTGACAGAGAAAATTAATGTCAGGTCAACAAAGTGACTCCTTATATATAGGAGCATAAAATGAATTATCTTCCTATTTTCTTCACTGAAGATGGGATCAAGAGGACTGAATACTCTTTTGTCTAATTTTGAACTGGAAGGTATATATGAAGAGCTAACTGTTTATATAACTCAAAATATATTGCTTGCAGTAGTTTTGTGGAAAAAAAAAGTGCTGATCAATTGCACAGTTAGAAAGGTGCTATGGATTCAATGGCAAGAAAAATTTCAATTTAAAACATACCTGTCTGCTCGCAGTCCAGAATTTCCGCTGGAAAAAATCAAGTTTCATCTGGATACCCACAGCTGTGAAATATAGAAATAAAACTGATATGTTATAATACATTTCTTTAAAATAAATCAGAAGGAGAAATAGTCCTATAATAAAGAGAGAAAGCTAGTCTTGCAATAAAAAGACACAAATAATTAAATTGGACACCACATAATCACATTTTAAATAATTTATAGCTTGCTTAAATATGAAGATATTGCTAATATAATAAGCAGCAGAGCAACCATTATTCAGATTGCATATGTCTCCATATTAAGCAGCAGAATCACAAGCTGTGCATAAATACATTATACATTTTGTGCTGAAACCCACGAACGTTTGCTGAAACAACAGGAGAATACTGGTCAACATTTCAAGTGTTCATTTGTTACTGGGTCATTTCATCCATGAAGTAGAAGGTAAGAAGTCTTTTTCTAACATAAGATCTTTAAAAAAAATGAAATTTCTACAAAACATAAGAGCAACCCTCTTCATGCAGATGACAGGATACAAGCAGCTGCAGTTTTGTTTTCATAGTTTTAGCCCTATGAATTTTGAGGCTTCTTAGACAGACTGCAATGGGAAATAAATGATCAGGGAGGAAAACTGAGCCTGCTTGCACTCAGACGATTGCCCATGATTTCAAGAGTAGTCTATATTTGTAGAAACCGAAGGGCTAAACATTACCAGTTACTGTCTTCCTTACTTTTTCAAAAATGACTCAGTTTATTTCTCTACCCCTTTTAGAGAAGCTCTACCACTAATCTACGAGGTACAGTATCCTTTAATGAGGTAAAACAGCAATGCATCTTAAACTTTAGTATAGGTAGAGGTCATGCAATGTTATAATGGCAACATTTAAACATAACACGGAACAGAATACATATTTTCCATAATTTTGAAAACCTTGTAGTTATTTTTAGAAAATTAAGTGCTACATGATCTGTAACTATGTTTCAAGATAGGAGAAGAAAACACAACTTCCATAAACACTGTATAGTGAAAGAAGCATAGGAATTTTCTTTGAAGAGGCAATTTTTACTGTGAGATTTTAATCTCACCATTTACTTTTTTTGTTTTCATTTCACTGTCTTGAAGAATCCACGTAGCAACTTCCATGTCAGTGAATGAATAATTTCTAAATATCCAAGTGATATATAAAAAATGACAATTATGGATGTTTCCTATAATTCAGCCTACAAGTATATGAATCAGTCAATATTCAAAAAGAATTAACAATGCTAGTGTATGGAATAATATTTTTTTCAACCCTTAAGGTGATAATAAAGCATTTTTGCAAGCTTTTCCCTATGCTTTTCAAGAACATTGTAGCCATCGCAGGACATATATATTGCCATGCTTTAAGAACTATTCAAATACACTTCAAAAGTTTTTAGAGCCAATACATTCTTCTGAGCAATCTCTAGTCCTTCAGCTTTCAGAACTTCAGAATGAAATACTGGTGCTTCAAGTTACTTTATATTTAAAACCTTGTTTTATGACTTGGTAACATGTTAATTTAAAAAACAATAACAACAAAAAGACAAACTTCAAAATCACAAACCACTGAGTCACTAATTCTTTGTTTAGTCTCTTGGAAGTAACAGCTACCATCAAGGTAAGAGGGTTAGAGGAAGAGGTATTTTTCAGCATGGTATCAAGATAGTATCCACACTTGTTAAAAAAAAAAAAAAAAAAGCTATAGTTGATCTTCACACAGAATATTTATTTAAATTTCATTCAACATTTCTAGGCTTGGTTCAACAAAAAAGGCCAATGGATACAAGGGATACTCTTCTTTAGCCAGGAAAAATGAGCATTCAGAGATGAGGAGAAATGTTTTTGTCTTCTCTGCTGCCTTTCCTTTGTACTGTTACTGAGAAGAATGGGCTAGAGCTGAAGGAACAGAGAAGACCAACTAATGGCAGCTGCTGGAGCGACATTAAGGTTCCTTCTTCATGTACCTATTTTCTGTACTACAGAATATGCCATTTCAAATGAATATTGCAAATCCAAATATTTGTGTCAACAATACTAGCAAGTTTACGTAGACAATTCCACTGAATGACTTTAACACTGCTTATAGATAGCAGACATTAACTCCCTGAGACTTCTTTCCTTTGCTTGATACAGTGACCAGCATTCTGTAGCACATATCCCATGAAATACCAGATGGTTGAGAATTACAGTTAAATTCTTGGCTCAGTGATAATTTTTGTTAATTAATCCAGTTCCTTATGCAGTTATTCCATGGCTGAGGGTAATCTTTCATTGTTTCTGTGGGATGCTGTAAGGATAAAATTATTCAGAAGTGCTCAACTTCTATAGAGCTCAGGGCTGTTTAGTATCAAGGCAAAACTGAATGAAAGAAAATAACTTCTCAGAATTGCTTGTGTTCATTTCAAGATCTCCATGGATAAGCAAACGGACAGAAAGATAAAGAAATCTTCCTCAATAAATGACTCCTGTTCTGTGCACAGAATTATAAGAGCTCTTATGCTCTTATATAAGTAAAAAGTACCAATTCCTACTGAAAATAAGAGAAGAAAATAGATCAGACTGATTTATTTCAGGCAAGAGAGGAGAAGAGTCTCCCTATAAACCTGGGATAGGGATTCCAAATACAGACCGAAGGAAAAAGTAGTAAAATCTAAAAGCATTTCCATTCTGTAAAATACCTATAGAATTTAACACTGTATAAAAGGACTAGATCAGCACAGTTAGAGAAATATCTTAAGATCTCCGTTCCCTTTTTCCACAGAAAGTAGAGTATAGCTAACCTAAAGTAATTTCTTATACACTAAAGATTGCTCAACATCCTATTGCCATCCTATGGAATTATTTTAAGTGAGATTTGTCTTCAAAATAAGAAATCCTGGAGACAGAATTGAAGCAGGATTATTATTATTATTTTTATCTGTAACGCGGTTGTACATTAATTTGAGACTCCCTAAGATTCTCTCCTTTCTGACTACTCCTATTACTTGTTGTTACTGTTAAAATAACTGGGAAATAATCCAGCAAATCCTTAGCTACTTAAAAAAATAAATTACACTTCTTTTGTTTATACTCTAAATCTTTGTTTCAGTTCAAAATATCTCTCTCTCTGGTTTTAGCTTAGCCAAAGAATGAGATGTTTAATTTTACACTCCAAAACATAATACTGAGCAATAAACATTGTAACTGCCAAAAAGTACCTCTATTACAGATTGCTGGAAGATTCTCACCTCCAAAGGCAATGCCCATCAAAATACTTACACAAGTTACAGCTACATATGTAACGGCTACAGTATAAAACACGTGATAGGTAGTGTAATTAAAAAGATAACAGATTTTCTTTTAACTCAATACAGACAAGTCTTAGCTAATAAATTAAAGCTATTCAGAGTATAGCAATATATAGTAAAATAATTATGGTCCAGTATCATCTAATATAGCTATATTCCCAGTAATAGTAATTGTTTCATCACAGTGGGATACATAAAAGAAAATATGAATTAGCACTTATCGAATGTGTACTTCCTAGACTGCTTCTAATTCCAGTTTCAGTTTACTTGCACAGTAAAATCCAGTTTCACCCTTCCAAACTTCACACTTCATTCAGTTTCCTTCCTGACCTCAGCGATGTTTTTGATTCTACCCATACCTTCCTCTTCTCAAACCAGTTCATTTTCTTCTCTTCAAACAGAAGATGCCCAGAATTTTCTTTTAACATGAAAAAAATATTAGTGTTAAGCTTAGGAATAGAAAATTTCAGCCTAAATAGTTTAAGTCTTGCTAAGCTTTAATACACTGAAAACAGAAGCTTATAATTGGAAGCAATGGGCAACGTTAATACTTGGTGGTGATGCCAGCCATCCCAGTAATTAACTGTTATAAGTATCCCATGATAAAAGTATATAGTTAGCAAAAAAGATGGTGCAAAATATTAAGTAATTGTGTACTTTCTTCTATTTTTCTTACAGTAAAGAACAGTCCTACCCATGGAAAACTAAATATCATTTATGTATTTGGCTAAGACACTAATATTATTCACAAACTACGTTTTTTTAAATCAAGGTAGAGTGGGTTTTTTTGTTTGTTTTTGTCATTGTTGGTTGTTGTGGTTTTATTGTTTTTTGGTTTTGATTTTTAATATACATATAACTTAGTGAAGATTTCTAATGTGCTTTACTACTTTTCTGGTAGTTTCTCCAAAATGATACCTTCATGCTTAACCTCACATTGTGGGGAGTTTCAGGTAGTGCCTGGTACTAATTCCATTCCATGAGTGAACTCACCAGATTGCGTCAATGTTATAAATAGCTATGAATCACAGCGTGAAACTCTCTCTGGATAAGCCATCAAAGCCACTCATGCAAATGTAACCACCCTAACAAACTTTTAGCACTGAATTAGTATATCATCTGAAAAGCCCATACTACAAAAGAAATTCAGAGAACAGTACAAAACATGGCTTTAAAATACTTCATAAAAGTATACCAGATCAAAAGAGCACAAGACAATAGTATAGAGAATTTCCTAATTGTTTTATTGCCCTGAATTTTTCATACTGTACTGACACTTGCTTTTCACTGATAAATGGCATAAAAGTATTTCTTTCCTCAATGAAAAAATTACAGCCAATAACTTTTTGTAGCTGAAAAGATGCTGTCAATCTCTGTTGGGCTGAAAATGAAAAGCTTTCAACAAGCAAACCAACAAAAATAATAGATTTTTCAAATGTGTGTACTGAATATTTAGATACTCCTAAATAATTTTATTTTTAAAATCCATTTGAATGTGCACATACCTTTCTTTTTTTTTTTTTTAAACTAAATTTGATCTACTGTGCCTCATTAAAATTTACAGATTGAGTTCCCCAAATACAAGTCTCTTACTAACCTAGATACAATGCAAAATACAAATAATCTCAAAGTTTGAATTGTTTTGTATTCTAAAAGTATTTGAAAAAAAAATAATCTTGTGTTACTGGTATTTTACTTTTATCTTTAAATAAGTGGGATGACTACACATACATTTATAAGTATTATGT